TACCACAAAAGCTCTACAGCCGAACACTCCTCCTTGGATTTTTGGAGCGTCCTCCACAAGTCCACTCACAAATCGGCTGGAACATAAATCGGGCATCTTTGATAGCAGTACGCACAGAGTGTGAGCCTGCGCGTGCGATGGACTGCGTTCCGCAGGCCCCTGCAGCCTGGATCATGGTGAACCCGGTCACCATGTTCACTCACAAAGAACGGACCGGCATGCTGTCGGAAGCCGTTGTCGTAGGGCTCGGTCTGACAAGAACGCGTAACCATTCGGGGAGGCATTGGGGATCTTGAAGTGCTGCTGCTGGGCTCGGAGTCCAGAGGTGTGGTGGGTGCTGAAGTCGAAGAAACCTTCACCCCAACTTCCAAACCATACTTCCCTACCTCTTCGTGAACGACCTGCTGAAGCTTCCGTAGGCGCCGAGCTTCACGGGACTCCGGACGTAGTTCACTTCGGTCGCAACAGCGGCCAATAGCCCATTTCGCTAACTCCCACGCTCCAATGGCCGACATCACAGCCAAGAGCACCAAGCCATAGAGCTCCCAGGCAAAGTTCAACTCCAAGCCTGTGGAGGGTTCAGACTCAGTAGCCGTAGTGCCTCTCACCAACCAACCCAAAATCACCGTAAGGCGGGCCAATACACCAGCCACCCCATTCATGGCAATCACCGCAATAGAATTCCGGGACTCCGAGGTAGGCTCTGGGGTAGAATACTCTACTCGTCCTTCTTCTTCTGTTCGAAGGCCCCACAGTTCACGGAGTTGCTCCAGCCTAGGGCGATGAAAGCTTTTTGTCCCCAGGTCACCAAGTTGGCTTGCCCCTGGCACATGGCGAATACTAAGCTCCTCCAACCGAACAGCTTCCCTTAGGGCAAAGGAACGTACCCGAAGGTGTCGGGTCTTCCAAGTCCCGCTGGCCTCAGTAGTGAGGCCTACTGCTGCTTGATTGTCAACCTTCAGGCAGTGTTTCAGCGCCGTTGGCCAAAGCTCTTCCGCAAAGCACGCCAAACCAAGCATCATCTGCACACAGTTCACCGCTTCTATCAACTCTGCTTCTGCAACCGACAAAGCCACCAAGCTCTGCCGCCCGCATCTCCAGCTGACAGGGCAGTTTAAGAAGCATGCAGTAGAGCATCCAACGCTACGGCTACCTTGCGGCGCAAAGGACGCATCCGAGTAGCCGATGATTTCTTCGGTAGTCGTATCTGGCTTATACCAAAGGCAGACCTTGGCCGTCGCCTTCAGGTAGCCAAGAACGCGTTGTCCTATGCGTTCTACAAGCTCCGGGTTTTTGATGCAAAGGCACGACATCGTGGCCACACTATGCATCAGGTCTGGCCGACTTCGGCCACTCAGCCAAAGCAGCTCTCCTGTGAGAACTTGGGCCCTCCTCAACTGCTCCGGGGTGTACTCAACTTGTACATCCTCACATTCTCCCAGGAGCCATTCTTGAGGACACGGCGTCATATAGCCTCGAGCGTCCTGCAGCTTATGGTGGCGAATGAGCTCGTCCACGTAAGCCTGCTGACCAATCCTCACTCCACCCGGAAACAAGCCTATCTCAAGGCCCAAAAAACGGATGATCTCGGTCTCGGAGGCCCAGGTGAGGTCGGATGCCTTCCACTCTGAGGTCAGCCACTCCTGAACCAGCCGAATATCTACAGCTGAGCCGACGTAGAGAACATCATCGACATATATGTTCATATAGCCGCGAATTGCTTCTGAGCCGTCTGCCTGCACAAAGACTATAGCCCAAACATTCTCATCGGCCTTGCACTGCCTCAACATGATGAAGCCATCACCATGTGGAATTCGGGCGGCTCGTAGACGCTTGTCGCGGAACTTACTCCAAAGCCGTGGACTTCTCCTGAAACCATATAACGCCCGATCCACTCTCCAAAGTTGATAACAGCAAGGAACACACACAAGCTGGAAAACCCGAGGAGGGAACAGGCCATATACTGTATCATCATCATCATCTTCGTCTTCCTTGATGGGCGCAAGGATAAAGGCATTTCGGATGTCAGTTGAGGCTACCTGCCACCCCTTGGACGCAGCTAACACCAACATTGTCCGCAGGCTGTCGATCTGGCATCCCCCCGCATAGGAATCCTCTTTTGCCTGTCTCCCTTGGAAGTTCCCACATATAACCAGCCGGGCCTTCCTCTTCACAAAGCGAGGCGACCCCCTTGGAAAGGGTCTTCCATCTTCATCAACCAAGCGCTCAAGCTCTGGGGGCTTGACTGTAAAAACGCCCTTGGCTGGCAGAACAACCAGCCGTCCTGACCGTTCAAGGTCAGCCTGTTCCTCTGCCGTTAGTGGCACCAAGGCTCCAGCATCAAGAAGCGCCTTGGCTTCCTTGTGAATAGCTTCGGACCATCTTCCCGCATACTGCTTGACCTCCTCCAAGGCAACCGTAAACACAACCTTGAGCGGCTCCTGAAGCTCCTCCAGCATGGTCTCCACGCCGAAGGTTTCCTCCTCCGTCTCCGTCATTCGACATAGGCCCAACCACTGTTCCTCATCGAACCTCTCAGGTAGACACCGTCCTTCACGAAGGTAAAGCTCCTCAGCAGCTTCTCCATTAGCTTCTACAACACCACGGTAGTCACCCATCAGGAAGTCCGGAATCACCTTAGCAAGCTGCTCCTCCTCATCCAGTACTCGTCGAGTCCAAATCCTGGATAACATCTCCTCCTCAACATCCCACTGTGAGTACTGAAGACGCCAAAGAGCACCACCATGAACTTCATCTCCTCGGTCTGGGGCCTCTACAGGTACATCACCCCAGGTTCCTGTCCCAGTGGAAAACCCAAATTCTCCAAGGCAAGCAAGTCACCCTCAGTGAGTTTCTTCACAGCCCCAATTGTGTGGGCAATCACAGTCCACTTCGGTCCCCCGGTCCAGGGCATGGTCCGATGCATCATCTTCGGGTTCACTTGAACAACTCGATTTTGTACCGGCATCACGTAGCCACTCAGGATTTCCCCGGAAGGTGCTTCCACCGACACCACTGGATACTCATCAGACTCTCCTTGCTGCCAAACACCACCTCCCTGAAAATCCCCCAAGGTGAGAACGTAGTTCACGGAGTTCCTCATGTTGAACCTGTCACTATGTACCTCTGTAAACAGGGTCTTCGCGACCGTAAAGGATGTGAACCTTGCCCCTTCGTTGCTGTGCTTCTTCATAAACTTCACCAGGTATCGCGTCAAGGCCTCATGGTTGCGGGTGGCATTGGTAAGGCCAACAAAGGGGCCTCTTTGATACGCCCCAAACGTAGTATGAATCGGAGGGGTACCATTCTCCCTCCATGCCCTCGTTCGCTGCTTCCGTGGCTTCTGAAAAGGTTCTGCTTCTAGAACAGCCAAACAATCTTCCATAGTGAACTTCTCCTCGTCCAAGAACTGCTGCGCCACACTTACGGCAGGTTCTCCAGAGGTTGCGGTAGAGTCAGGTGGTAGTTCATCAAGTTCCAAGCCATACAAGTACGGCTCGTCCGAAACCCAAGACCAAAGATCGTCCTCATATTCAGAGTCGTCTGTCTGAGTCAACCTGGCCAGCGCCTGCGCGATTGGCTCTTCTTCATGAGGTTCAACTTCATCTCTAGGCACCAGCCCTGGCATCAAACCTGAACCACTAGCAAGTTCCACTACCGAAGTTTTTCCTTTCACTCGCCGTGCTGGTAGTAGATCAGGTTCGGATTTGGAAGCGGTAGACTCGAGGCCTCCACGGTCCTCGAACTGTCGAATGTTCGTAGTGAACCAAAGGTTGTTCTCCTCGGTGTACACGAGATGTCCACCTGGAACGGTACGAGCTGGGCCCAAATAAACACCACCTATCCACTTGGACTTCAGGTCAAAGGAGCCTCCAGTGCCGTAGCCCTTGCGCTTGGTAAACACCCGAGAACCAAACCTGGCTGCCGAAGGAAACTTGCGACCCAAAGCCATTGACTGTTGCTGCGCCACCGCTGTGTCCGCTGCCATCGGCCAAAAAGTCTTGACCACTTCGTCCCCCAAGCCACTCAACTCCTTGGCCTGGGCGAGCAAAATCCTCATTCTCATCTTGAGGTAGCCAACAGCTCTCTCAGCCGTACCATTCTGGGCTGGATCGGACCCTTGGGTCCTGGAAAGATCAATATCCCTTGCTGCAGCCCAATGCTCCAAAGCTCCGGACTGGAACTCCCTGGCCCGATCCATATGAAGCCGATTCAAAGGGAAACCCGAGCTTCGTAGCTGTATGTACATCTCCTGGATCGACTTCAGAGCCTCCGCCTTCTTGCGCGTCCGCAACGGCCGTGCCAAATAGATAGACACGAACTTCACCGGCTCCGCTAACTCCCTTAGGGCCTCAACTTCTTCATCAGGAACACCTTCATCTTCACGTGTCGGTTCTCCTGGATCGATGTCGCCAACCCCTCCACCAACGTCCTCTGGTTCAACCTCCTCCTCTTCGAGGATCCAGTCCTGCCCATCGTCGGGGTGTGGGTTGATCTCTCCGGCGCTCACAAGCGGCTTCCCTTCATCTTCGGGAGAGGTGCCCTTCAGGATCGGGTGTCGATAGCAACCAACCAGTAGGTACTTGTAGCCACCCGCGCCCTTCGTTCTGAACGGCCCCGCTGTGTCTATCGAGAGCGTACAAGGGGTGGGGTGTCCCACCTTCCTATGCGGTTTTCCGCTTGCTCGCTCGATACATTCACGGCAATCTCGACGATAAGGAAGATGATCTCGCTGCACATGGAGCCTCCAATCGTGGGCATTGAACTTGTTGAGGTTGGCCGCTTCCCCGTCTTGAACCCAAGAAGTTCTCATCAAGGAGGCCAATAAACTCTCATGATTGCGAAGCCCAACCCACGACCTAATGGCTCCAGCCACTTGGGTGGTGAGCTCAAAGGGCCACACAGACCCCAGCTCCACCGATTCTCGGAGTCCGAGGCGTTCTTCACGAAGATGCCAAAGGTTCAAGTTGCGACCCAAAACCACATTCCGTTCATTCACCACGCAGGGCACTTCCCCCATCATGTTGTCCAACGCAAACATCTTCCACAACGGCATCTGGAATAATGACACAAGCCCGCCTTCTCGGGTATAAGGGTGTTCCAAAAGAAAACCCACATGAGGCTTCACCATAGACTTCAGCCCCCCATTGTGCCATCTTAAGGTTCTCCCTTGCTGGGCAAGATAGTACAACGTCATCATGCGAACAACCAACTGTACTTCACGCTGATGCTGGGCCCCATTCACAAAGCCATCCGCTGTTGTTGGAAACGTCTGTCGCGGAGGTCCTCCAACAATCACCTTGATGCGGCCCGTCAACGCTCCCCAGGCCAACACCCTGAAAACTCCATCCCTTTGCAAGAAGTCAAGGGACCTGGACGTAGTAACATCAACCTCCACCAAGACATCATTCCCGGTGAGGGCATCCGACCAAAAATTCTTCTTCATCTCCAAACGGCTCTTGCCCCGCTCTGCCCTTTCATCCCCAGAAAACAGATGCACCACCCATCCATCACTTTGGTGCATCGCCTTCCTCTTCGCCCGGGACCATGGCATCCCCTTCAACAAGTTCCAACCGTCGCGGCTTCCGAGAGGAATATCTTCAGGAACTCCAAGCAAAGCTTCAGCCTTCACCGTAGAAAACACCGGGTTCTTGTGAAGGAGCCCCGCCAAATGCGTACGATCTCCCTGCTCCGCAAAAGCCCTTAGGTGCTGCTCCCAGGTCCACCCTTGCATGCCCTTCTCCTTTAGCGCCTTCACCTGAAGCTGTAGGTCCTGCACTGTCTTCTCAAAGGATTCCATCCTCTTCTGCTCCAGCTCTGAGATCAGCGAGAGCGCTTGGGTCACCGGTAACACTGGACAGTGGCCTCGGAGACGAACTTGTAGCTTCCCATGCACAGGGTGAACCACCGTAAGCTTGCTGGGGGTCCAACTGACCCGACAGCCCAGCAACGTAACCAATTGGCCCATCGGAAGGATCGTAGCATCTCGCCCATCCTCACTGAGCAAGGTCCCTCCAGGATTCTGTGGGAGGCGGCGTTCCTCTCCGGTAGCCAGAGAAACCCCAACCCTTCTCGACTCCAAGAGCTCCTCCTGGGAAACCGGCGGGCGAAAAGCATGACTCGCGCCGCTGTCTAGCAAAGCTTCGTCCTCCTCCTCGCCCCCAGTCTGGGCAATGGCAGTCGCCTGTAGCCTGGTCTCATACCAGGACACTGCACTCGAGAAAGCCGGGGTCGGCTCATCTGGCGCGCGAACCACCAAGGTTCTTAGCCTTCTTACTTCATCAAGCTGCTTCTGGATCATCTCGATCGGGTCCAAAGGTGCCGGTGCCGCGGCCTTAGGCGGTTGTTGTGGTGTAGCCAAGGCCTTCAACATCTTGTTGGTCTCGCTCAGAATTTCCGTCACCTTGGCAGCGTCGATCTTGTTGTGAGCGCCGCTAACAGCCGGCGCGGCTGCCCCCGATGCTCCTGTAGATGATCCCTCCCCCTGGCTGCTTCCTTGGTCCACGACCTGAGGCTGGGTAGACGTCGTAGCCGAGGAACTCGATTGAAGCTTCGCTGCCCTGGTCGGCGACTGAGGCTTCTCGGTAGTAGGGGTCGGGGTTGCCGTCGGGCACTCCTTAGCCCTATGCTGCTTGGAACCACAGAGAAGACACCTTTCACCACGGTTGAGTCCAGCCCACTGGTGTTGGAAGTTGCATGCCTTGCCATTCCTGCAGCCGCTGTCTGTCCCAAACCAAGAGCACACCTTCTTGGCAGGGATAGCCTTCGCCTTGGCCTTGGCATCCGGCACTGGAGCTAAACCCTTCAACGAGGCCCCTCCTGTTGTGGTCGTCGTTGCTGTCCCCGCGCCCGGGGTTGTAGTAGATGAAGCCGCTGCTGTGGCCGAACTTGCCCTTCGGGTAACCGCGCCCAGCTGCTCCAGCTCAGCCAGCAGGTGTTGAAGATAACGTAGAACGTTTTCTTGAGTAGGACGAGTGTCTATCTGCAACTCTGTCCTCGCCAAAGCCAGCCGGAACTTGAAGTCCGCGTTCTGCTCCGAGGTCTTCTTGACGATAACTGACAAAGCTCTCACCTGCAAAGACTCGTCCGGCAGCTTCACGCCTAAGTCCGAGGCTCGTTGAAGAAGACGGTACCATCTCCTCAGCGCTGTAGTTGCCTCGGCCGGGCCTTGCGCAGACTCGGTCACGTCCAGCTGCTTCAACAACTGAGCTCTGTCCTGCGCACCTCCCGGCTGGAAGATAACCATAAGCCTATACAGTATATGGTGCACTCCTTGAACTCTGTAGGCCACCAAGTCATCCCTGACACCCTTGGGAAGCGAGGCCAAAACCAAGGCTGCGACTTTCCGCTCCAGCTTCTTGTATCTGTCGTCTCGTAGGTCCTCAGTAAGGTGCGGAACAACGTTCAACCGCCGCACTGGAGAAAGCGTCTGGTACTCGGCATACGCCTGCTGGGCCACGCTCAAAGTGCGGGACCACCAATCTCCCGCTCCTGAGGCCAACGTCCCAATCTGCTGTTCGGCCAGGTACAGGTAATCCTGAAAGTCAATGGCCCCTGTTTCTGCCGTGTACTCCGGCAGCTTCACCAGCTCTGAAACCGCCTTCGGTTCCAGATCGACGATGTCATTCTTTTGTCTCAAAAGAACTTGTTGAAGCTGGCCCATCCCTGTGATCAACACGTCCATTGCAGAAGGCCCAGTAGAGCCACCCGCGGGCACGCCTGGCCCTTGGCGGCCTCCATCATCACCGACGGGAGCAGGATCTCGTGGCATCTCAGGCATGGGTCCATCTGTCCTTGCTTCCAAACCAGGCGGTCTTTCAAAACCGTAGTCGCCATAGGTCCTCGAGTCGCGGAAGCCAGGGGGCCTATAGGCTGCCTCACTCGGTAAAACACCCAAACCTCCATGTGGAAAACCAGAGTCATCGCCTGGACCTCGGAAGGAAAAGCGCCTGCCTCCACCAAGTCTTGTGGTAGACGACGATTCGCCATAGGGCATTCTTGCCAACGGCGACGACTTCCGATCCACACTTGAAGTCCTCTGCCCCGGGAAACGCGCGGCTGTCTGACCACCACCACGGGGTTCTTGAGACACCGAACGGACTCGACCTTCACGCCGTGCTTGAGGGGAACCACCCAACACCTTGGAATCATGCGAAAAATACGACTGATGCCCCTGAGGTACTCCAAGTCCTTCTCGAACACCAGCGGGATCTACTCTGGGTACACTAAACCCACCACCTTGATCGCTAGCCCGATGCCCCTGAGGTACTCCAAGTCCTTCTCGAACACCAGCTGGATCTACTCTGGGTACGCTAAACCCACCGCTCTGATCATAAGCCCGATGCCCCTGAGGTACTCCAAGTCCTTCTCGAACACCGGCTGGATCTGCTTCGGGTACTCCTGCGCTTGTTGCTTGCTCATAAGCCCGATGCCCCTGAGGTACTCCACGTCCATCACGAACACCAGTTAGGTCTACTTCAGGTACTCCTGAGCTATAGCCCTGATCAAAGGCCCGATGCCCCTGAGGTACTCCAAGTCCTTCTCGAACACCAGTTGGATCTGCTCCAGGCATACTGCCCCCATATAGGTGGTCTAAAGCCCGATGCCCCTGAGGTACTCCAAGTCCATCACGAACACCAGTTGGATCTGCTCCAGGTACTCCAGCATTGTACTGCTGACCAACGGCCCGATGCCCCTGAGGTACTCCGAGTCCATCACGAACACAAGGTGGATCAGCTTCAGGTACGCCAGCATTGTACTGCTGACCAACAGCCCGATGCCCCTGAGGTACTCCAAGTCCATCACGAACACCAGGTGGATCAGCTTCAGGTACCCCTTGGCTAAACGACTGCTCCAAAGCCCGACGCCCCTGAGGTACTTGCGTAGGTACGCGTAACCCACCGTCGTTGTCTACAAAAACAGCTCCATGTCGGCGGTCCTGGGAGGCCACATCGTCGCGAAGTCGGCGGTTCTCCTCAATGAGTTCCTGCATATGTCTCCTTTGAGATTCCAACGCCTCTTGAACTTGACGGCGAACCTCCTCCTGAACCACCTCTCTCGGTATCGATGCTGAAGACCCTGGATCCGTTGCCGGTCTTTCTGGCTGTGGGCCATGAAGTAGCGGCGCCCTCAAGCGCCATCCATCCATCACTCTCCGCGCTCCAGGTCCAAACAGAGGAGGGTCCACTTCGCCACCTTGGTGACCTATTGAGCCCGGTGTTCCAACTGTAGCATCGGTCAAAGGAACATGTCGCTGCGGTGAGGGGGGCCGCGAAGTAGTATGTTGCACCTGCTCCCGGCTTACAACTTCTCCACTTGCTGCTACCACTTGCTGTCTCATCAACGTAGTTCTTGTTTCCACACCAGGCATCTGCGTCCTCAGAAACTCCCCCAGTCTGGAAACCCACGAAAACGTAGCTGGAGAGAAAGGAGTCCTCGCTGTTGTGTTAGCCACACCACGTTCTCCCCTCTCGGGGCCCGGTTGAGCTGGCCAGGCTTCTGTTAAAGGGCCCGAACTGGAAGGTGCACCACCATTGGCTGCCAAACTCATACCAGCTGCCAGGGGGGAGCCTCGAAGGGACTCCATTTCCACCAAGTCCGACGGAGGCCGTCGAACTTCCGCAGCTGGAACTCCATTGGGCAGAGGTAGCCTAACAGTCGGCCCAGGCCTCGCATAGTCCGGCCCCGCCGTTTCTCCTTCCAACAGCTGACCCGTGTGCTGCGGAGATTGCTGTGCGACTTGGGCGGTCATAACCTGTTGATCATCGTGAGCAGGGGTCGCACTTTCCGGGTCCATGCTGTTAAATCTACGTCTCCGAAGTAAAAGAATCTTGAATGCACTGCAAGCAAACCAACCCTCTCAAGTCCGTGTGGTTCCCAGAACACACACCCAACAAGCCCTTAAAGGGTAAAAGCTTACAGCCTACAAACGGGCAAACAGCCCTCGCTTCAGCTGTAGCTGTCGTTTTCATCTTGAGCCAAATGCGATGTCGATCGCATCTTGGTACACTTCTCGATTTGTGCGACAGGCTTCTCTGAGCAACATCTGTGCACATGCTCTGTTTCGAAGCCTTCGGAAACTATACAACATCACGACCAAACTGCCATCAAATACCACAAAAGCTCTACAGCCGAACATAGTAGTAGTAGTAGTAGCAGCAGTAGTAGTAGCAATAGTAGTAGTAGTCGTAGTCGTAGTCGTAGTCGTCGTCGTAGTCGTCGTCGTAGTCGTCGTAGTAGTAGTAGTAGTAGTAGTGGTGGACGTCGTGGTGGTGGTAGTAGTAGTAGTAGCAGCAGCAGCAGGAGTAGCAGTGGTAGTGGATGTGGTAGTGGTAGTAGTAGGCGTCGTACTGGTAGTGATAGCGCTGGTGGTAGTAGTAGTGATAGCAGTGGTTTTTGTGGTAGCAGCAGAAGTAGTACAGTATGAACAGTAGAAGTTGTAATCGCCGTAGTAACTGTAGTCGTAATCGTATGTTCGTTTCTAGCAGGAGTAGTCGTCGTTTTCATTTCAGGAAGAGGAGGACTGGATGGCAGTGTCTGCAGCAGCAGGAGAGGGAAGAAATAACGAGGAGTGTTCTCAACCTAATTTGCGCATGGCAGAAACCTTGAAAGAGGTGCTGTCGTGCTCCATGCAGAGGCCACGAAACAGTGAGCAAAGGTGGGCATGGGAGTGCTTCCACTCCGGCCACTGCTGCAGTGGCCGCAGGATGGGCACGTCGTTCCTTTGCTTTGAGGGCTTTCGGGCTCGAGGAGCTCTGTCGGAGATACTTGTAGCAGGCTTTGGAGCCGAAATCGTACATGGTCGATTCCTAGAGCGCGATGTGCAACTTCAAGGGTCTATGGCTTGGAAAAGCAATCAAGGCAAAGTCCAAGAATTCCTGCATGCTAAATTGCTATTTGGGTGTGGTGGCTTTCTTTCTAAGGAGCAGAAGCTGACCCAGGAGTGCACACTTTAAGGGGGTTCCATACTGCCCAAAGTCAGACTCCGACCATCAAAGGATGTTGTATTGTCGGAACCAAAAGCGTTGGCATTGGCAAGAATGAAGAAAGAAAACCCTCTGAAGACAGCAGCCCGCCTAACGACGAAACCGCGAAAAAAGGCGGGCAGGTCGCATTCAAAAGGAGCGCACATTCCTACGGTCCCTACGGTCCGAGGAAGAGAAAGTTGCCGTTCCGAGGGGCGGCAGTGGCTGTGAGAGACTTGGCCTTGGTGAAGGTGTCGTGATCGGTCCTGGGCCTGTGGCTCCTGCAGGGCCGGGGCCGTCTCAGGGGGTTCCCTTTACAGGATACTTGCCGAATGTGTGTTTTGCATGTTTTGGGACCGGTGCGGATCTGCTTCCTGCCTAGAGACCTGAGCGCATGCGGACAAAACCCCGCGAGCCAAGAGAAAGGTCTGTTCTTAAGCACTGCAGCTACCGGCGGCGGCTACCGGCGGGCCCAAAGGCCTGGCCTGGCTCTGCCTCGAGCTTCACGAAGCTGGGTCTGCTGAAAGCCGCGGCTTGACGTGCGTTCAAGGCAACAAGGACGCCGAGGAAACGCAACATCGAGATCATGGAGAGGTCAGCATGGAAGGGAACAGGATGCGGTTACGTAGTTCGGGCTTCTTTCTGGTTCCGAAGTGCCGGTGTTGCCGGAAACTTATAATCTGGGTTCGGTATGCTGCGGTGCGGGGTCTATCACCGCGCTTGAGAGCGAAGTGTGCAGCGCAGAAGGAGGCAGTGGTGACAGCTCAAACACCCAATTGCTTGCCCACGTTTTAGAAACGCAAGAAAAGAAACGGATGCAAAGAGTGGGATCATGCACTATAAGAACAGCCTAGAAATTGCCGCATTTCTCAAATCCTAGCCCAGCTCCCTTTTGCTCACAATGGTCGGTAATCTCCCACGTCATTTCGGCGGCGCCGGACTCCGATCGCCACCAGGATTCCAAGGGCTACGGCCACAGCGAGGGCAAAGCCCGTGACGCCAGTCAGGCTGAAGCTGAACATTCCTGCAGAAAGCTGCTCAGTTCTTCCGTTTTGAAAAACACGCTGTAAGGCTTCCTGTCTTGGCTGGAGGTCGATGCGGATGGAGCAGAAGGTGTGTCTAAACCCAACGAATCAGCGACTGTGGCCGAACCAAAGGCTCCTAGTGGGCCGCCCGTTAATCTGCAGAAGCTGAATGAACGCACCCTTACTTGTCCAGTTTCTGTAGGAACAAGAGTTTAACTTTTTTGGAGTATCTCGGGATTATTCAGTTTACTTACTTACTCTACTGCTGTGTACCTGTTTGTTCGGTTTCGGCATTTTCGAGGCACCTCATCATAGAAAACCAAGCTAACAACTAAGTTGCACTGTCGTTCAACACATGCGCAGTACACAAAGTCCGACACAGCAACATGAAGAACCTCGAATCAAGCAAAGTCTGACATCCCGTTCAGACGATCCTTTAGCATGATGATGCGGCAAGGACCAGTGCTGCAGCAAACGTTGGGCGAACTCAGGGGAGCCAGGAGGGTAGTAGGTGTCGTTGCCATCGCAGGCCTCGTAATCCTTGGAAGTTCTCTTGCTCTGAATTCTGATGCTCAGGGGTCTTTACGGCCAGCCTACTCATGTCTGCGGGAGACCCCTTGCACTAGAACTCCTGGTGCCGGGGAGAAAGCCACATCAATCCATCGATGGTGGCGGCTGGCGAAACGAGGCGTTCCAAGAGAGAGAGGGAGAGAGAGACCTGCAGCTTTCGGAGAAGCCTGCTCCCGTCTAAGTTATGCTGTCCCATGCCACTCTAATAACAAGATTTCAGCACCTCATCTTGGCAGGACAAGGGTCATAGTCGCACTTCCACCGCAGGACGTTGCAGGAGCAGGTGGCGAGGCGGCGGGTGTCGACAAAGATGGGCTGCCCGTCGCTGCTGTCGCAAAACGTGAGTTGCGAGCAGTTCAAGCCCATATCCTGCTCGTCGCTTTCATGATGCTTCATGGTTGCCGACGTGCAACATGGAGACTGTTGAAGGCCACGGTGCAAGCTTGAGTGACAAGAACAAATGCGTCGGGGGCTCCGGATTGGTTTGGCAGAGAAAAGCCCCTTCTTAGCACCTACGGGTGCTTGACTTGCTCGTGCAGGCCGACCCTCGAGTGGTTTTGGGCTCTGATGAAATGTTCATCCAACTGTGAGCTTCGCTACACTCGTCTTTGCTGTGCGGGCAGCCCGGTGAAGTGCCCATGCAACACAGTGGGAATCTTGCCATGCAAGCCCTACCTCCGTCCAGAAGCTCCGACCACAAACGTCGTGCGTGCCGCCACCGATGGCCCAGGAATTACTCGTGCAGGGTTGCACGACACCTCGGATCAAGTGTGTTCTCATAAGAACATGCTGAAAGTGCTCCGGTAGTAGAGACAAGGAGAGAAGTCTACGAGCTAGCCCTGTCTTAATGTCTGACGACCGTGCTCATGGGAAGATGCTGGCTAGGCCTGCTTCTATTCATTCTTAGCCCTTCCCCCGATGAGCTGACCAGTCCCGGAGGCCGACGTTCGGGCAGGAGCGCTCCAACAGCAGGTACCCGGAACCGAAGACATCGCAGGCCTCCTCAAAGAACAGCAATGCGAATAAGCAAGTGCCGTATGTCAGCTCAGGCCACATCCGAACTTCGAAAGTTTATTATCTGCATCGTTAGTCTTCGGGTGTGCCAATTGCATCCTCAAAGGTGGTAGCAGCGGAGGGATGTCCCAAAACGAATTGCCTCAATCAGAGTCATGACCTAAGCTGTTCAGCTGTCGCCTGTCCATGGCTCCATTTGCCGAAAACCATGTCGTCAGGCAGAGGATAGCCTCAGCTGCTGCAAGAGTCGCCATCACCCACACCCACCCAGGTGACAACATCGAAGACCAGTGTGTCGTCACTTCTTCGGATCGTGATGAGTGACCATGAAATTATATGGAACCCGATCACAAACCACGTGTAGTGTTCAAGGCATTCCAGTGGCGTGGAGACACACTGTTTCTCCGAACAGCTACATTCTTGGCCACTGTTGCGCACCAGGCAGCAACGCCCAAAGTCTTGATCGACCGGACAGCTGCAAGTGCACGATCCGCCCATGTATCCTGCACATCAGATTGCGGGTTTGTCAGCTTGTGAAGGAAGCCGCCAGGGAGAGGTGAAATCAGCGATGATCCGAATCCGGGTTGTGGGCGGAATGGGGTCCTTTGTCCACTTCATGCTCTTTCTTCTTGTGGCGCTTCGAAGGGCGCACATGCGATGTGTTGGATTTGGTCCTGAGCTCGGGCTGGGTGGAGGTTGGGCGAGGCATTTCAAACAGCGTTTTGCAGCATGAAAATGTGTCTTACTTCACGGCTTCCGGTCCGGTTTGGACAAGGTCCTGCGGATTGGAAATCCATCGCTGGCTTTCTTGACATGCGAAGCTGAACTCGGAAAGCGAGACGCCAAACTCATCAAGTTCTTAGTCTTGACTCTTCGAAGGCTCCCGTGATTGTAAATCACAGTCGAGAGATCGAAGGTGGTCGTTGTGGTTGTCGAGTTTGCTTTGAACCTTGGTGTAGAGGCCAAAAAGCACATTTCTAGTTTCCATGGCATGGAAACCCAACTCTGCATAACAGCGCCTCCCATCGTCAAGTCGCCCGCTGTCGAAGAAAGCGAACGGCCACCATCCGGCAGTGGTGGTGCTCGTGCTGGGCCAAAGCCAGTCCAAAGGCCAGTTGCCACCAGCCGAAGTGAGCGAGGTGGTGGGTGTGGTGGTAGTCTTGACAACCTAGCACGGATCATGCAATTTTTTACCAAGCTCGCCAGCAACAAGGTGGTCCTTTGGAAGCAAGGACACCAAACCGACCATCACGGGAGATACAGGGGAGTTCTTTCATGGACCGGGGCGTGAGTGGCAACTGGCAGTTCTGTGGTGGTTCCCTTCCCTCTCCAACTAATCATACCAAGGCACTGTGGTTGCAGAGGTGGTGGTGTAGGTGGTCAGCGTCTTCGTAGTGCTGGTCCAGGTTCGGGTCAGCGTGGTGCTCGTGAGGGTCGTCGTGGAGGCAGGCAGTGGCAAGGCAGCTTCCAGCACCAGGTAATGAAGGAGAGCTCCAAAGGAGTCGTCATAGGTGATCGAAAACCTGGCTATCGGCATATCCTATCGGCACAGGAGAAGCAGGATGTTAACATCAGCTGCAGTCGAACAGGCAAACACGGAAACATCTTGTCCAGCAACTTGGGCGCCGTGGGGCGCGAAAAGCAAGATCCCTCTACACATTGTAAAACTTCAAGTCTGCGACTAGCCGACGTTAACCCCGCAGCCCGCGCCAGCCAAGCAGCCAGGACCAGGTGACTGAACAGGAGCTCGACCCCGTCAAGTCCATCCCCAAAGAGACCACAAAGGCATCGCGCTCCTTAAGGCCACGAGAGCACGCTATGCAAAGAGGATCAACCTGCGACTAGGGTTGGTAAGAAAGTCGAGACCCCTAGAACCTAAACTTAAACCCTGCGCCGTTGCCTGACTCCCGATCGTGCTTCTAGTGCGGAGTTGCTGTCCCCGGAGTCGCGGCGAAGTACAAGGCATCTTTTGCAGGGTTCTCTTGCCGGAGCTACGGCGACGCGGAGAATCCGACGTCCGACTCCAGGCCGAGGCTCAGGCAGCATGATCAGGTACCTCGTGAGATAACCCGTGGCGAACCAAGCCTCCTCGTTGATGCCAAAGATCGGAGGCCCAGGAATGCCGAAGCCTCAAAACTCTGGGTCCGAACTCTGACTCCAGACCCCAGGAGATGCTGTGCTTGCCGGCCAAGGCGCAGGCGCCGCAGGTGCACATGCAACAGCTGCTGTCCTCCGGGGATCTGGCGTGGTTCAGCCACATGAGGAAGCCGTAGGTCGACACGACCTGCGAGGAGAACGGCGCGCCCCGACACGGGAGTGGGAACAGTGTGATGCTTCGAGATTTTTTGCACATGCGCAGATATGGCTCGTGCTTCCCCCTGGCGCCTCCGGGAAGGAAGGCCGAGTCATTTCCCGGATGTAGTCCTTGCTGACCAGCTGAAACACCGAGGTCTTGTTGCTGGCCCAGGGCAGCCAATCCAGCGGCCAAGCTGGGGCCGCAGATATCGGCCAAGCGCCCCGGTTCATCAAAAGCTGGCCAATCCTGAGACTCCGAATTCTGAACCAGTGCGGACACGCTGCCGACCTGCCGACCCATCGGCCGTTAATTCTACTTGTTGGAGCCTCGCAGGCACTTAGAGTTGGGGCGAACATGCGTGCAGTGACTTGGCTGCGAGGCTGTCGCAGATTGTGCTGTACACTAGGTTTTCCCCGACGGCTGCGACGCATCTTCAGGAAGTTGTTGCAAGTTGAAAAAGCCTTGCAATACGGAGTCATTGAAACGGTGGCATTCAGTTTGGTGCTGGGCGTTTTTTTGGGTCGCAGGGGGCTCGGCACCGAGGCTCCGCGCCAGCTGCGGGCAGCTCATCAGCTGCCCTCCTCCAATGGAGATCTCCCCATCGAGGCCACCGTGATCAAAGAGCCCTGGCACGGGCTCTCAAAAGAATCGGCTCGTTTACGAAAGCAAGAGTATGTGCCAATTGACACAAGGTTTCGACATGCAGTGAACAATGGAATGGGCGACAGGACCTGTGCACAAAACTCGCCAATTTTGCATGGGCAGCTTCTGGAGAACTTTACTCAGAATGTCCAGAGCACAGGGCAGTCCGCGGGGTACAAGGACAGAGCGCCACTCTAAGCTCCAAAAGCTCACGTAGGGCACGGCACATTTCACCAATGACAACGAGAAACGAGCTGTTGAATGGGCGAACATGCTGCTTTCAAGCATCTTCTGGAGTTGCGGCCAGCACAGATATCCCCCAACCGCCAAGACTCCACTGCGCCACATGTGTTGCACAGAAAAATTGCCCTCCATGGGTCATGCCCAGACAATATCAGGGGATCGCCATGAACATGAACATGACGACTTACAGATCAACGGAATGTCGATATGTAATTATGCAATCAAACACAAGCCTATCTATCCGTCGATTGTGCGAACACACACAGATATATATATATATATGCATTTTTTCTTTCTTTATTTATTTTTGTATCCATTTAAAACTACCGTCGTGTTCTTTATCTCTATCTGTCTACCGGCTATCTACCTACCTACCTGCCTACCTAGCTACCTACCTGCCTGCCTGTCTACCTACCTACCTACCTACCTACCTACCTACCTACCGACCTACCTACCTCCCGCCTACCTGGCGATGTAACGATCTATATCACGATCGGTCCATCGATTCATTTTGCGGCACAATTATCTAGCTTCTATCTGACCCTATCGGTCCTGTTTGTTGTATTTGTTGTATCTACAGAGACACAAGCTTGCGTGCATAAGTACATACATACATAGATGCATACATACATACATACATACACAGATGCATACATTCATACATGCATGCATGCATACATACATACATACATACATACATAAATGCATGCATGCATGCATGCCTGAGCGCATGTACATACATGCACACGCAGCATGAACACATCTACTACGTCGCTACGTAGTCATCTGCCCATCAACCACTATATCACTATGACATGAAGCCTTACCCATGCACACATCTTCTTTCCATTATGTTGACAGAGGCATGTTCCTGTGCTATGCCCCAACCGTAGAAGCCGTAGAACCCCTGAGCCCGACAGCCCGTCAAATCCGTCCAGAGTCCAGGTGTGTCAAACTCAAAACCCAGCCAATGACATGCACAATTATGCATCCCCCCAAGACGGCCGCGGCGAAGCCCGAGTAAGAAGCGCAATCGTCACGAAAACACTGCCCAACAGGAATTTGCCTCCCACCCAGCTAGGACGAGCCCGCATTGCAGGGAGATGTAATTAGGGGATGTGGGAAATCACGGATGCAACCCGATCTCACGCACGAACGTATGTACGTGTGTATGTATTCATGTATGTCGGCTTTGCACTTCATGGCTTGCGGGAACCCCCATTCCAGCTCTCCCGGATTACAACTGAATACTGCAACGAAGATTCAATCGGTGGGATCCAAGACCCAAATGTGAAGCAGAGGTCTCTGGAAGCAACATTGAAACCCGGAGACAGCCCAATCAAAATCCAATCGCGCTAATCCGCTTTACTCGGCGAAGCTTCGGGAGTCAAGATCCGAAACACCTCTGGTGCAACCTTGGATCTTGGGTCTCACTGCTGCTGTTGCTACTGCCTCTGCTACTACTGCTCCTACTGCTGCTGCTGCTGCTGCTACTACTACTACTACTACTACTACCACTACCACTACGACGACGACGACAACAACTACTACTACTACTGCTATTGCTGAATTTACTACTCTACGACTAGACACCGATTATCCCGAAAGGAAGCAGAGCAGTGTTTACATGGCCAGCACCGCCGCTACACCTTCTTCTACACTACTCTTTCTCCTTCTGCTACGACTACTGCAACTAGTCCATTCCCCTAAATTTTTTCCTACCCGCCCAGCTGACATAACGAGGGTGTCCGCCCCCCACTAAAGACTCGCACGATGTTTTTCTACTGGAAGGTCCTGCCGATGCTTGGGCACCTTCCCCATGTTCCATGATCGCTACATGAAGAAGCTGTCGTGGATCATGACGATAAAATTGTGGGGCGAGCAGATATTCATATTACTATTACTACAATATATAAACACATACACACACACACACATATATATATATATATATACTCATATAGATAAATGGATAAATAGATAGATTACATTAGACGATTAGATTAGATTAGATTAGACTAGATTAGATTAGACTGGACTAGACTAGACTAGGTTAGATTAGATTAGATGAGATGTATACTATACGTATGTGTACATGTTATACATACATACATTACACGTAAAATATGCATAGATACGCATTTATACACATTCGATACAAGCACAACGCATGTCTCGGATGCCCAGAAGGCCTGGAAGTCCCAACGGCTTGGCGAACTGGTCCTCTGCCCAGTCCACGGGACTGGCGTAATGCTCTGATGTGAGCTCTCGGATCCTTGTTGAACACGCTGTCTGGGGTTGTGTCCATGCCAAATCAGCGAGAATATACCGACGAAAACACAGGGACACATGCATGTGTGCATGCGTACATATACAAACACAGAATACATACACATGCGGACATGTATATGTTTATATAGCTATGTACGTATGTGTGTGTGTGTGCTTGCGTGTGTGCACATACATAGATGCAATTGTGCATGCACGCGGACTTACATACATACACAGGCTACATCTGGAACTCTTGTAATTACCACCATTCAAGAAGAAACCACAAATTTAGCTTTTATTAGCTGCCCAGAATCAAGGCGCTGAGGTGCTGGATGTGCTCACCACTGTTATATTCCTCAGTTCTGCTCACTCGACCCATGCATTCTCCATGTCGCGTCCATCCCTTCTTTGCTTCAGCGTCCCTGCCCCCGCCAAAGCAACCGAAGAACAACAAGCAGGGTGATCGTTTGACTGCCCAGTGAAATGCCACTTGCGACTTCGGCGTCTCTTTCGACTTCTAGGTGAAAATACAGCAGTCATTCTTAACCTCTGTGGCTGCTTTACTCGGGGTCTTTGCCAGCACAAAATCAGACATCACACTAACGATCTGGCGACCGACTCTGCCAAAGCAGCAAAATCTGCTGCGGGGCTCAAGGCTTCACGGGCTTGATGGCCGCTTCAAAATATTTTAAGGCTTTAAAGTTCAAGGTTCCGGGGGCTTCTGAGGCAAAGGTTCGGGCTTAGCGTGCCGCTGTTGGGTTTAGGGCCGAAGATATGGGGCTCTGAGCTTCGGGGTTCAACCTTTTAAGGTTTCGGAGCTCAGATTAGGTTCCAGTGTCTGCTGGGTAAAAGCATAAGCTGTTGAGGCACCAGGAGTTCGCCTCAAGTTTAGGTTTACGGGACTTTGCGTTAAAACTTCGGGAGTTGGTGCTTTCGTCTCTTTCGGGTTCGGGCGGTCAGGCGAAAACGGGCCTTTACATTGGCAGGCTCAGCATCTTCGAGTGCACTTCGTGTGGTCTTTATGTGTTTGTAGTGTTCAGTCGAGAGGACTTTAGACTTATCTCGTCGCAGTCGAGGGTCGAATTTCACTCCTGGGGGTCCTTTGCCCAAGCCCGAGGTGTGAGTCATCAAGTGACGCGCAGTGATCAACGGCCAGTACCTGAAAGCCAAAGCTCCGTGGCGGCTTACAGATGTGTATTCGGGAAATTGGCTACATTATAGGGGAAAAACATTTTTTCCCCTATAATATGTTTAGTGCTTCTTTGACTTTTGGTGCAGAGACGTTGGGCACGTGAGTTCAGTTAATGACAGCAGCGATCATCAGCTTGCAGCCCTGGGGTAAGCAACAACATAGTTGTTCTTGTTTCTCGGATGGCCGCTGCATAAGACATGGCTGGGTCATCAGACAGGGAACAAGATCGAGCATGATTGGATTGGACGTGAGGCAGCCAAAGAAGGGCGCCAAGGACCTGTGATACGTGGGCGTAGTCATGTTCAGGGCCGCTTTCCTATCTCACCTTTCCTGGATAGTTCGCGTAGACTTGCGTGGCCTTGCGCCGAGATGTGTGTATCAACGCACAGATTCTCTGGGAAACCGATTGAAACAACGGTGGGGCAGTGACTTGGAAGGACAAGAAGCAGCT